TGGGTTTATTTTTTTCTTTCTTATTAAGGCTATTTCTTCATGAAATAGCAGAATGAAAATAGTAACTCATCAGCCATCCAAAAATAAAAAAAAAAATAAGAGAGGTTCTATTTATGTTTCTTGGTGGATTTATTTCTACCTGAGAGCAGTGTGTAAGTGCTTTCAGTGTGGTACATGAATCTCAAATGCTTAGGCCTTTAATAGCACAAAAATCATCTGTGACCTGCTGGTGAAGGTCAGCTTTGAACCAGCAGATATCTGGAGTTCCTGAGGGGTTAATCCAATCCTGGTGCAGCAAGTCTGCCTGATGGAAAGGTCAATTTGCCATTTTCTGGGGTTTACTCAGGTAGGAATTTTCAATAAAATTGGTGTGACTCTCTCTGAGATGTAACTACAGGTGTGGGAGTTGAGGGGACATTTTTGGGATGTCCTGTGCAGGGCCAGCAGTTGGACTTGACTTTTCTTGTGGGTCCCTTCCAGTTCAAGATATTCTGTGAATTAATTTGCTCCTCACAATTTAAATGCTAGTGCAGCTCTGTGTGTGTTGGAATGGGATGTGTTTCCCCAAAATGGGTGCTGATGTTTGCCTGTGGTTGAGAGGAGGGAAGGGAAACTCTTCATGACAGCTCACTGTGTGCTGAGATTTTCTTTTGAAGCCTCAGCTGTTCTCCCAGAGTGGATTTAGAGCCACATGGACCAGTCTTGACAGTTCTCCTCTATTCGAATCTGAAATGTAAAGAACTCTCAAAACTTTGGGCCTCTAAGCCAAAGCTTGGAATTAAACACAAGATTTGATCTGAGACCTTGGAAAAGGCTTCCAAACTTAAGTGATGTGGATTTATAGTTTAAAACAAAGACACATTAAATTAAGCAGAAGAAAGTTTAGAGTTTTAGAGTTTAAGATATAAAAATAAAAGTAGTTACAAGGGTAAACAAGGAGTTTAGAATGCAGCACTGTAGATTTGTGTGTCATAACCTGATTAGCTAAGAAAGCTTACACTGTAGCATAAGTCCATAAAATGGAATATTTAAAGATTGAGTCAAAAACATAAGTATCCTTGTTACCAGTGTTTTATTAATCAATAAATCCTTAAAAGGTCTTGTAACTAAAGATCTTGTGACCTCCTGAACCATACAGTGAAGATGTGAGCCAAACTCAGCCTTCCTGCCTATGTAGAAGATGAGAAAAGGAACAACATCATCAAAACCAATTCAGAAATCCCATCTCTAACTCATTCAAACTCCTTCAAATCCCCATTCTCCTCTTCCCAGTGCTTTGGAATGGCTCCACTGGCAGAAGGGAGCCCAGAGCAGAGGTGCTTTGGTCTGTGTTCCATTTGCACCTGCCTTTGGTTTCTCCTTCTTTCTTCTCCCATTTCTTGTCTTTTCCTTGTAAACTTTGTGGGTTTGGGTGCTCCTTCCCCTGCTCTCTGAGCACCATGGAGCAAGCTGGTCTCTAATAGGAGCTTGTGTGGAGCTGTGTAGGACCCATGGAACCACTCCCAGATGCTGCCCTCTGCTTCCCAAGGAGGAGAATCCATCCCTGGTGTTTCACAGCTCTGGGAATCCAGACCTGCACGCACTCATCTGCTCCCAGTGTGTGCAGATCCCATTTAGATTGTGAGATCACATTTAGAGGTGTTATTTGGAGGCCTTGTTGCCTAATTCTGGTGGTTTTAGGGACATACAGGAGGTTGGTTGTGTGGGGCCTTCCAGCATTTGTCAGTTCTCAGCTTGCTCTTGAGCTGTCTGGAAACGTGTGCTGTTCTCTGTAGGTTCAACTTTCTCTCTGTTCACTATTTGCCTGATTTTTTTGCTATTTTAGGAACTCTAAGGAAAAAAAAGCTTGCTCTTTGCTTTCTGCAACCTTTTAAAGGCTGGAAAGAGGCTGTTGCTGTAATGAGTTTGGAGTGAATGTTCAGTCTGATCCCCCTTGGTGCAGGGTTGACTCTGCAGCTCTGTCCCCAAGTCTCTGAACTTTTGTTGCTTGTCAGAGGTTTTCTCAGCTAGGAGAGCGGGTTGTGTAAGAAACCATGTTAATGAAAAACCCTGTTAATGAAAATCTGTGTTAATGAAAACTCTTGCCCCTAGAGAAGTCACAGTTTAACACTTTAATTTGCTTGGGAATAGCTGGAGGGTTTACCATGATCCAGAGTGTTAAAATCTGCTGATGGCTGGAGATTAAAACTCTTTTAATTGTATTTCCAACATGGCTTTTCCCAGGCAGGACCAGGATGTGACAGTTTGTCCTCTAAGACAGTGGGAGGTTTGCACCTCTGGCTTTATCTTGCAGCAGCATCCATACTCTGTGTCCATGGCAATGCTGAGCATGAAGGATGTGCTTCCCATTCCCTGAGAGCACTGGGACGCATCACCTCTGTCCCTTGCTCTGAGACATTCCAGCTCTACCACTGCACTGAGATCCTTTTCAGGTTTTTTAAAGTCCTTTGCTTTCCAGCTGGCATTTCCTAGGTGTGCATCTGTCCTAGGGTGATGTTATGATGCTTGTATCCCCTGTTCTGTTTATGCTGGATGCTATTCTGTGCCTTCAAGACTGGCTCTGAAGAGCAAAGCTTTATTTTGTTTTGTTATCAGCCTGCTCACTCCCTCAGTGGTCAGCAGGACACAGAGACAGGGTAGTACATAGTGCAGCTCTTGCTTTTTGCTCTTGCTCCTGCTTTGCTCTTGCTCCTGCTCATTAGTTAGTTTAGATAAGCAGTCTGAATTTTCCCTGGACTGTTTTTTCTTTCCCTTTCTTGGAGCCATTTGAACCTGCTCTGGACTGGGACCTGGGAAACACTGAGAGTTTGCACCTTGTGGCTGCAGCAGCCTTTCCCAGTGGTGGAGGGATTGATTACAGAGTGATCACTCCCAGGAGAGACTTTCTGAATTTATCTTTTTCAGAGCGCTGGCAGAGTGGTGTCACCTGGTATTGTTCCTTTTGTGTGCTGGAGGTGCTGTGCCTGTTAAATAAACAGGTTCTTTCCCCTTCTCTCCAAGGAATCCTTCCCAAACTGGTTGGGCACAGGGGCCATGTGGGTTTGCTTTCTGGAGGGGCCCCTTTAGAGGTTTTCTTCCAAATTTGCCCTAAACCAGGACAGCATCCCTCAAGAATCACTGTTTACACCTCATTCCCTGCTCACTCCTCAGCCCTGTCCCACATGATGCCAACCTGCTTCCTTTGGGTGTTGCTGTTCCCCAGTGCCCAGCTGTGTGGTGAAGGACACCCTTGGCCCGAGTGCCTCTCCCAGGAAGAATGCAGACAGTCTGGCAGAGTGCAGGTTAAATAAAGTTTGCCTTGGCAGGGCTCTTGGCTGTGCTGGGAGCTGCCGGGGCGTAGTGGTGACGGAATTGCAAGCACGAACAGCAGCTGCCAAGAGGAACGGCGCTCCTGGCCCTGCTGGCTGCCTCCTGTCCTCTGGGAATCTTGAAGAACTGGCAGAATCACAGACCTCTTCCCTACCCCAGTGCTGTGCTGACACTCCCAGCTTTGCTCCATGGCCAGTGAGGCCACAGCACCAGCAGTGCAGCACCCTGAGCCTTGCTGAACCTTCCTGTGGGGTTCAACCACAGCCTGTCATAGACACCTTTTATGAAAAATCCTTTCCTTAGGATTTTTCCTCCTGAGAAGCTGACAGGCCTCAAGAACAAAATGTAAACAATGGTTATCTGCTGCTGTGGAATGCAACAGGTGCATCTGGGATTGGTCTCATGGGGTTGTTTCTAATTAATGGCCAATCACAGTCAGCTGGCTCAGACTCTCTGTCCAAGCCACAAACCTTTGTTATTCATTCGTTCTTTTTCTATTCTTAGCCAGCCTTCTGATGAAATCCTTTCTGCTATTCTTTTAGTATATTTTTAATGTAATATATATCATAAAATGATAAATCAAGCCTTCTGAAACATGGAGTCAGATCCTTGTCTCTTCCCTCATCCTCAGACCCCTGTGAACACCATCACACCACTCCTCATGCTGAGGGCAAAGATTTTAGGCCGTGCAAGTTGTGATTGATGGCTGTGCCTTGTGCTGTGACTAGGAAGTGATTTCACATCTGGCCAGCCCTTGAGTGTGGGGGACACATCATCCAGTGCAGCTGCAAACCCCTCTGAGCCCTTCTGAGGAGCTGGAATTTGGGGATTTGCAGGTGGTTACACAGAAAGGGCACAGTCCTGCCCCAGCAGGAGGGACCATCAGCAGTTCTGTAGGATTTGGGATGGGAACAAAAAAATTCTTGGCTGTGAGAGTGTGGTGACCCTGGAGAAGCTGTGGCTGCCCCTTCCTTGGAAGTGTCCAAGGCCAGGTTGGATGGGGCTTGGAGCAACTTGGTCTAGTAGAAGGTGTCCCTGCCCAGGGTGGAATCAGATGAGCTTTAAGGTCTCCAAATCAAACATTTTGGGGATTCTGTTATCTCATTGCTTGCCATCAGTGGATGAAGCAGGACTGGACAGCAGGGCAGCATGGACAGCAGGATGAGAGAGGGGTGAAGCATCAGGATATTCATGTCTTGTCATCCTTGGAGTGTGTTTTGGTCTCCAGCAAAGACATCCTTGGCTGTCTTGGTAGCAGAGGGACTGATGAGAGGAGCAGAGGCTGCCAGAACAGGGCTCGTGTCCTTCCAGTCCTTCCTGGGGTTGTTTGGAGTTCCAGTTCCTCAAGCTCTGTCTGAGATTGTGCTTGGAGATAACTGAGGAGCTTCAGGCCAGTCATATCCCTGAGCTGGGCTTCCTTTAGTCACCAGTGATTCATTTGGGTCCCTGTGATTAGCAGGGTGATGGGGCTCCTTTGCTTATCAGAAACACAGGGAACATATCCCACCCACTCTTGGTGCATGGAAAACTCAGCTAATTAATACTTGTGGAAATCTTTGGTGTACAGACATAAAAACTGCACGTTAACAAACTCAAAGAAGCTGATTTAACCCTCTTGATGGGTGGAAATATCCCAGCTGGCTCCCAAGCTGGACTTTTCCTGACCTTGTGTCTCTCTCTCTGTTCTGCAGGTGGCTGGAGGTGCAGATGGTCACCCTGACCTGCACCCAGCGCTGGGTCCAGTACCTCCAGTTGCTGCAGGAGTCCATCTGGCCTGGAGGAGTCCTACCAGCAGTGCCTAAACCCCCCAGGACAGAGGAGCAGAAGAAGGCAACAGCAGAGCAGGCCCTGCAGAGCCTGATGGGGATCTTGCCCAGTAAGTGTGTCCCAGAGACTTGTCAGCTGCCCTGGGACAGGAAAGCAGCTGGGGAACACTCCAGTGCACTGGGATCTCTGGAAATGTGGTTAAATACAGAGATGGAGGCTGCTCGTGCCAAGGCACTGGGAAACCTTCATGACCCTTGAGGTTTGATGGTTTCCTGCGAGCAAAACCCAGAGTTTTCCAGTTCTGGATAGTTTGTGTAAGGGTTTGGGAGGCAGCCCAGCTCGGAGGGAAGGGATGTGAGTCCAGGCCATGATTCAGTGCTCACAGTCCTGAGCCACCTCACCAAGGCAGGGCTCAGGACAGCTCTGCTCCCACCTGCTGCCAGAGGGTCCCATGGTGAACAAAGCCACCATGCAAAGCCTGTGGCTTTTGCACTGGACTCAAATCCCAGCTGCACTGGATTTCCCTCTCTTGAAGTTTGACACAGGGACCTTTGGCATTAAAGCAGCTGCTGCCTAATCCCTGTGAGTGCAGTCTGAACTTTTAACTCCTTCATGAGTGTAAAGGGCCCTCACTGTCCTTTGGGAATGAAAAAGCACTGCTGGTATGTGCCCTTCCAGCCAGGAATGCTGTCCTGGCACTCCCTGCTCTCCCAGCCCCAGAGCACCATCATGAGCTTTGATTCAGCACCCACCAGGAGAAGGCTGACCTGTGGAAATATTTACTGCCTAAAGCTTTGTCTCCAACACTTCCAGATGTGATCCAAGAAATCCTTGGGACCAGGAAGTGTCAGATGAGCTGGAACCTGGTGCTGGAGTCACTCAGCCAGCCTGTGATCAACAGGTATGTCATTGTGATCTTCACCCTGGTGGGCTCTGAGCCTGTGATCAACAGGTTTGTGATTGTGGTTTTCACCCTGGTAAGCTCTGAGAGCTGTGCTAAACAGGTTTGTGATTGTGGTCTTCACCCTGGTGGGCTCTGAGCCTGTGATAAACAGGTTTGTGATTGTGGTCTTCACCCTGGTGGGCTCTGAGCCTGTGATAAACAGGTTTGTGATTGTGTTCTTTAGCTGGTGGGGTCTGAGAGCTGTGATAAACAGGTTTGCGATTGTCTTTACACTGGTGGACTCTGAGCCTGAGATAAACAGGTTTGTGATTGTGGTCTTCATCCTGGTAAGCTCTGAGCCTGTGCTAAACAGGTTTGTGATTGTGTTCTTCACCCTGGTGGGCTCTGAGTCTGTGATAAACAGGTTTGTGATTGTGGTCTTCACCCTGATGGGCTCTGAGAGCTGTGATAAACAGGTTTGTGATTGTGGTTTTCACCCTGGTAGGCTCTGAGAGCTGTGCCCAGGGTTTTGCCAGTGCTGCTTGGCACCAAACACCCAGTTTATTATCCCAGTCTTATATCAGGGGACATCTGCATGTCTGGCTGCAGGTTATTAAGCCAGTCATGTTAATTACGTTGTTCGGTCTGCTTAGTTAGTGGATGTCAGGGAAGTAAGACAGATCCTGGTTTAGTTTGGTTCTGGAGGAGCTGCAGGTCTGTGCAGGGGGTGTTTCTGTCTATTCCCAGTGCTGTGAGTCTGGAAGGGAAGGATTTGGTGATGGAGAGCAAAGAAATGAGGGTCAGAGTGGACATCAGGAGGTATTTCTTCACTAAAAGGATTGTTAAACATTAAAAGGGCTGCCCAGGATGGTGTTGGAGTTTCCATCTTCTGAGGGTCCAGGGAACAACAGTATGTGGCACTCAGTGCTCTGGGCTGCTTGACAAGGTGGGGATTGATGATCTCAGGGGTCTTTTGTGTCTTCAGGGATCCTGTGATCCTGTTAAACACATGTTTTGCTCCAGAAGATGCATTTGTGTTTTCTGTGCTGCTCAGCAACTTCCAACACCCACTGGTTTGGGGGAGGTGAAAAAAAGCTGAACCACCTCTGGAAACATTTCTCTGGGGGCCTGATATTGTTCCTCTCTCCCCTGGAGCATTGGAACACACTTTCCTTGTGCTGAGCTTTGCCTCCCACGCCCTGCCCAGCCTAAGCTTTGTGTTTTTTCCATTCCAGGCACCTGGTGTTCTGCCTCCTGGACATTCTGCTGGAGTTCTTGGTTCTGAAGGGCTCCAGCAAGGAGCCTGAGGCTGCAGCTGCCACACCATGTGCCTGCAGTGGCACAGACAAAGGTGTCCCAGCACTTTAACCAGCCTGGTGCCCCAGCAGTGGAGGAGAGAAGCAGCCACAGGCATGGAGTGTTGGATTTTCATCCTTTACTGAACGTGCCTGGGAGCTTCCTGGAAGGAATTTCTCCAGCCAGTGCTAAGTGAAGCTGCTTCCAGGCTTCTCTGTGTCAGCTGGGTGGTGGAGCAAACCCAGAGGTGCTGTGCAGCATCTGTTCCATTGCTGACCTGATGGGGAGCCTGCAATGAACCAGCCTGACCAGCTGGAGAAGGAACCACAGACCCTTCTGAACATCTCTAACATCTGCAGGAGATCTGCTTTTGTGGCTCCAGGGTCCACCTGGCACTGAGAGTTGGTGTGCTGGCATCTGCTGCTGAATGTTTCTGCAGGACAGGGAAGGGCTGCAGGGCTGTCCCTGCTGTCTGAGCAGCCTGCCCTGCACCAGCTGTGTCCCCAGAAGGAAGATGGGGAAAGGATGGAGTGTGGAGAAGTCCTGGAGTGTGGAGATGTCCTGAAGTTCAGCATCCAACTGCCCAAACACCTGGGAGGTGAGAGCAGGGCCAGAGGTGCTGCCCTGCCTTAGGGACAGAGCTCAGCTGCTTCTCCCTGCTCTGGTTCTCAGTAGGTGCAGGCAGGCTGGGATCCTGGCAAAGAGACCCTCCCCAGGCTAGGGAGGAGTGCTGGCTTGGCTGGACTTTAGGACTTGTTTATATTGTGCTTTCTGAGTCACCTTTTAGTCCCTGGGACAGTCACCTGGAAGGCACAGGCCAAAGGAGCTGAGCCATGTGGGACAGCAGCAAATCAGCTCCCACCCAAACCTGGCTGTCACAGGAAGCTCTGGGAGAGGAATGAGGAGCCCAGGGGAATCCTGGATGTGTGTCAGGGACAGGCAGTGGGTTAGAGCTGGGAGCACTGCCTGAGCTCTGCTGTCCATGGCTGGGTCACTGGGCTCTGCTCTGCTGCCCCTGCTGCTGCCACAGGGCTCTGGAAAGCTGCTCAGGTCATGGAACAGGGACTTGGAGCTGCTTCTCCATCTTGTCCAAGACTTGAGTGGCTTTGTGAGCACTTAATGTTCTCAGCAGTCAGGTTCTGGGAGTACTGAGGGACTCAGAGTGTGCAGCCACAGCCCAGCTTGGTGACCAGTCTGGTGACCAGTGTGGTGACCAGTTTGGTGACTCAGTTTGGTGACCAACTTGGTGACCCAGTTTGATGACCAGCTTGGTGACCAGCTTGGTGACCAGCTTGGTGACCAGTTTGCTGACCAGTTAGGTAACCAGTGTGGTGACCAGTTTGCTGACCAGTTAGGTAACCAGTGTGGTGACCAGTGTGGTGACCAGTTTGCTGACCAGTGTGCTGACCAGCTGTGCTGTATTTTTTGGGAGAAACAGACTGAGCAGTGCTGCCCTGGGCTGGTGAAGGTTCTCTGCAGATCTAAGGAGGCTCCACACAGGAGCCATGCAGGATCCCAGGTGGTGTCTGTGCTGCAGGACCAGGTGGTTTCATCCCACAGAACCATGGAATTCCAGGCTGGACGAGACTGCTGCAGTTTTTTGGAGCCGGATGCTCCATGGCATGTTTGGAGGGAAGGCAGTGTAACTCCAGCATGCCTGTCCTGCTCTTCCAAAACTGCTAAATTATGGATACACAACAGTGTGAGCTGCTCTGGGCTTCTGTTGTGTGAAAATACAGAAAGGGATCATTTTGCTGCAAGCAAAAAGATTTTCAGGGAGCTCTGTGGACATCCCAAGACCAGGCAGAATCCAGTGTCATGAAGCAAATCAATTCTGCATCACCACTGGAGCTATTTCTCTTCAGAGATGGTAGCTTGGCCACCTGCTTGGAGAAGAAAGGAGGTGTGAGTTAAGGGATTTAAGAGAAGATGAGGTGGAGAATGCTTTGGGATTATCCCAAATGGCCAAACAGGAGTTTGGGAAGCAGGACTCAGATAAACCCTTAAATATCTGCTTATCTTTCACTGCCAGGCTCTGTTCCCCTCCTTTTCCTCCTGCTTCCATTTCCACCCCAGCTGCCAGGAGGGGCACAGGGCACCCTGAGCCAGGGCTGATGCAGCAGAGCCCTGGTGGCTTCCCAGATGTTCCTGCTGTTCCTGTTTGCTGTTGCTTCCCAGTGAATTTTGTGGCTTTGGAGCTCCAGGACTGAGGTCTGTCATTGATTAGGGAGAATATTGAGAGGCTTTGCTGAGGAGGATCATGGTGTGCAAATTATCCACTGCCAGCTCCAGGTTAGGGCAAAAGTCTGAAACAGTCCCTGCACACACTGGATGTGGCACTGGGAGGATGAGCTGACACTTGTCCTTTGCCAGGAAGCCCAAATTCTCCCAGCTTTTAACCCCCATCTCTGAAATGATGCAAATGACTGAGTATTCAGTCCTCCAGATGGAAATAATCTGTGATTTTGCCAGCTTGGGAGCTTTGGGTGCTTTGCTGGGCTGGTGCAGCAATGATTTGGGGTTGTCCCAGCAGCCCCAAATCATTCCGCTCCTTCTGTGTTCAGATACAAAGAGCTGGGACAGAGAGGCAGAAAGGAGATTTATTTATGTGCGCTCTCAAGGCAGAGTGAGGAACAGACCTAAAAGAGTTTCAACTGCAAAGTGTTGGTTTACCCTGCAAAACCCCCTTTTTTGTCTCAGATATGAGGGGTTGGATCCCTTTCTCCTGGCTGGGCTTCAGATTCCCATTTGTGCAGCCCTGCAGCTGAGGTGAATAGCCCAGGAGCAAAGAGCCCTCTCTGCATCGTGCTGTTAAGGACTAAAACCAATCCAATAAAAAGCTCAGCTTTTTTTCTACTGAGAGTTCTTTGCCTCACTGTGATTTTGGGATTAAATTGAGCACAATGGTGGCAGATACAAACTGCTGCATTCAGGTGGGCTGGAAGTTTATTTCCGTTGGACTAAGACTAGAAAAACTGCTCTGGTAAAACAAACAAAGTTGACAAAAAAGCTTAAGCTTGCTCAGTGTGTCATATTCCCAGCAAGCTCCTTTTTTTCTGCAGGAATTTGTAGAAGGAATTTGCAGAAGGCTCCAGCACCTCTCCTAAAGGGTAGGTGGTGAGAGCAGCCAGATTTGACCTCAAGAAGGAGTTGCAGCTTTGTGTCACGTTAGGTCAAGAGCAGCACCTGCCTCAGGTGGGTGCTCAGCTCTCCCTCTCCAGGTCCTTCAGCCCTGTGTGATCTCCCTCCAGCCCAGCACTTGCTGATTTGTGAAGTGTTCCCCTTCCCACTGCCTTAGTTTCCCACAGCTGACTGGAATCTTCCTGGAAGCAGCGATGTGAATGACTGAGTGCAGTGGTGTAGAGCTCCAAGGCACCACTCTAAGCTAAATAACTCTTAAATTGTGTTTTTAGGGGAAAAAAGTGCCACCATGCACTGACTCCCTGCCCCATTTTCTGTACTCAACCATTTGTATCAACTATTTGTGGTGCTGTTGGAGTCTCTATGGAATTCTGCTGGCTGGAAAAAGCCATTTAATTGTTAAATGGGGAGCAAACCTCCACTCCCATGTACTTGTGTGCAGTAAGACTTTATTTCAAACTTACTTCTCTGTCAGAGTTTAAAATCTGCCTTTGGTTGTGACCGTGTTCACAGGGGTCTGAGGCTGCGGGAAGAGACGAGGATCTGACTCCATGTTTCAGAAGGCTTGATTTATTATTTTATGATCTATATTACATTAAAACTATACTAAAAGAGTAGAAGAAAGGATTTCATCAGAAGGCTGGCTAAGAATAGAAAAAGAAGGAATGATAACAAAGGTTTGTGGCTCGGACAGAGCTCACTGTGATTTGCCATTAATTACAAACATCCAACATGGGCCAATCACAGATGCACCTGTTGCATTCCACAGCAGCAGATAACCATTGTTTGCATTTTGTTCCTGAGGCCTGTCAGCTTCTCAGGAGGGAAAATCCTAAGGAAAGGATTCTTCATAAAAGATGTGTGCGACATTTGGGAGAGAAGAACAAGTGGGGAGGAGGCTGGGGGTGAGCGGGAAGGGGTGGATGTGACTCCCAGGGGTCACAAAATGCAGCAGGGCAGGGGACAGTGGGCTGGGACAGGTTTTCCCCCCTGGCACACAGGGGGACTGCTCAGACATGGGAGAGACCAAAGTCCTTAAAGCTTGGCCAGGAATCAGAACAATTTCCCACCCATGAGCATTGCTGCTTTCTCCCTGACACAAACTCCTCAGTTTGGGCTCTCCAGGGAGTCTAAAACCAGGGAAGCAATGTGGATCATTTGCTTTCTTCTGGCATTTAGGAAAGACTCCCCTAGAAGCAGGGATCTCAGACCATCTCCACATCCCCTGGGCAGCTCTGCTTAGGAACCTTTCCTTGCTGCCAGTGCTGGAGCAGGAAAGCTGCTAAGCTGTAAGGAAATAGGGAATGTCTGAAAACGAGGAATTCCACATAAAATTTGTAATATTATGTCAAAGGGGGAAAAAAAGAGGAAATAAGTAAAACCTGATACAATGAATGCTTGGGTCATGTGTTTTTGTGGATTAGCTGTGCCACAGAGGAGCCCATGCACCCTAAGAGCTCCATTCCCTGCAAGGCAGCGAACATTTGCACAGCACATGATGTGGGACCATGGCTGAAGCCAAGTTCCCTGGGATAATATCCACCCTGGGGTAGATTGGGCCATTTCCAGTGTCAACAGCCAGAGGATTAAGCATTTATCTGTGCAGAACAGGATAATTAATACCAGATCACACTCAGAGCTGGCCTGGAGCTCAGTTTGTGCCCCACCGAGGTTTCACTGCTCACTGTGGGCAGTGGGAGAATGTTCTGGGGGCTGCCAGATGCAGGCACTGCCTTGGGCTCCTGCAATGGCACTGGGATGGCACCAGAATGGCAATGGGTGCCACCAGGAATGGCACAGGGGTGCCACCAGAATGGCAGTGGGTGCCACCAGGAATGGCACTGGGATGGGACCAGGAATGGCACTGTTGTGCCACCAGAATGGCATTGGGATGCCACCAGGAAGGGCACTGGGATGGCATCAGGAAAGGCACTGAGATGGCACCAGAATGGCATTGGGATGCTACCAGGAATCGCACTGGGTGCCACCAGGAATGGCAGTGGGATGCCACCAGGAAGGGCACTGGGATGGCACCAGGAATGGCACTGGGTGCCACCAGGAAGGGCACTGGGATGCCACCAGGAATGGCACTGGGGTGCCACCAGGCTTCCCAGATGAAGCTGAGGGTGAGCTCTCCCATCGTGGCCACGTGAAGTCAGTGTTAATTTTTCACCCTTATCAGGAGCACTGTTCCATCCAGCCAAGAGTTGAGGAATGCAATCAGGGTGCTGTGATTTGCCCTCTGCTGGGTTTCAATGGGAAATCCAGGTTTTGGCACTTCTGGCTTTGCTGAAATAAATGAATCCCATTATCCTGGCCACAGTCCAGGTCAGGTAATTATATTCTTCCTACCTTAATGCCACTGCAGCCCCTGGCTCTGCTGGATATGCTATACTCTTTAATTCCTGTCTGGAACTTGCTTATTATGTTACAGAGTTGGTTTTTTTTCCCCCCTCTCAGTAAAATTTGTGCACCAGCCAGGCCCCAGCATTGTGCTGAGCTGCTAAAATAGGGAAAAGCTGCTTTAGACATTGATTTAACTGTGCCTGGTGTTCTCCTGGAGCATCTCTCCTGGTTGTAAGGCTATGGAGTTGGGAAGGTGGGTGAGGTGGAAGGTGAGAGAACTTGTTCCAGCCCTGGTTAATTCAGTGCCTGCTGGAAACCTGCTTTTCTCCCCTGCCAGTTCCTGAGGCTGGTGAGTGTTCATGGGAGAAACTCAGAACCTTCCTCTCCTGCCATTTCTTCAAACATTTTGGGAGACTAAAATATGTCCTTGATGGGAGAAAGC